TATTTTATGTAAATGCATAATGTTTCAATCAAATAAATATAATATATATCAACAAACCAATGATTAACATCGATTATAATTGTATTATCCAAAATGAAACTGCTTTCCAACAATACCCATTGGCAATCGATTATTAACATCCTAATCAATCATTCTTTAGCATGATTACATTCGAATACTAACTATACGCATTAGCAATCGATTGCAAATCACTTCAATTGGCAATCGATTATTAACATCCTAACTGATTAACATTGATCATGATTACAAATGATTGCAAACTATTCTCGTTGAAAATCGATTGCAAACCATGTATATTGACAATCGAGCATCAACAACTCACCGATTAACAATAATTATGATTGCAATCAATTATAATCAATTCTTACTAGTAATTAATTAGCTACCTTATACATTGGCAATTGATTATTAACACCCTCACCGATTGGCATCGATTGTGATTGCAATCGATTGCTAACGATGTTCTTCGATAATTTTTGAACGCAATTGATTGTCAGCGATTATAATCGATTTTAATCGCTAATAATCGATTATAATTCCTATCGATGATGAATGATGAGGGTGTTAATAATCAATTGTCAATAGGCATGATTATAAATTGATTGCCAACGGGTATAGAAATTTCCTGATGTTATACTGAGCAAATTACTATTATTAACTTTGAACTTTAGATTGTATTGTACTTAACAAATTATTATTATTAAATTATAAAGTTTTATATTATATTGTGCTAAACAAATCATTATATTAAAATTATTAAAATTGAATTTTAAGTATTTTAATTTTTGTTATTTGAATTTTTAATTATTAATGAATATTCTTCATTCATAAAAAAACAAAGTAAAAGAGTTTTTGTTATTGTTATTACTAATTAAATTATCTTAGCTTTATACAAGTATAAAGAATTAGCTTTTCAAATATCTTTTATTATTTTTTTCTCTTTAATCTTTATTTTTTATAACTCTTTCATATTATTATTTTTTTTAGTAATTATTATGACTAATCAAGATTATAAGCCAAGTTAGCTAGTTTATTTAATATATAAAAAATTAAAAGAGTTAATAATTCTTATTTTCTTTTATTTTTCTTATTTAATTTTAATATTTCTTTAACAAAATTCAGAAATTATATAAAGAAATATGTTATAATATATTTTATCCTCTTATTTTTATTGAATACTTAATTTTATTGATTATTTCATATATTTATATCTTATTGGTTTATATTTTATTGAATATTATATTTATTTTTATATTTAGTTATATTATTAATTATATAATAAAAAAGCATGAAATACTAAAAAAGATAAAAAAGTTATAAAAGATAAATTAGTATGAAATGCTAAAAAATATAAAAAATAGCATAAAATAATAAATTAAAGATAAAAAATATTTTGTGCTAGTTAAGTTAAATATCAATTTTAATAACTAATAGTTATTATAAGTAATTATCTTATAATTCCTTTTTAATATTTAGTATAGTTTTTGTTATAAACTTGAAATAGTCTAGTAATATTATTATTTTTGTATTATATACTTGTATAATCTATGTGCAAAGTGCCAACTAAGGTAGTAATAATGAAAAGTATAGTAATAAAAAACTTTGTTAATGAAACTATCTTAAACTTATCAATTATATATTATATAATTCTTTTAATAATAAACTTAACTTGTTCTATAATTTTTCTTATAACTGTAAGAAGAAATTCATATAAAGATCTTTTGCTATACAAATACTGTTAAAAGAACTGGAATAATATCATCTTTTAAAATTGTTATTGTATATTTAACAAAAATCATTATAAAGAACTATAATATAAAAAGCTAAACTCGACAATAACGTAATTTGTTTCAATGCGATCAATGATATTTTAATCACGTGTAAGGATGTAAAGCAATTTATTTATTACATGATTTACATTATGATAATTAGGGCTGGCACTATGATAGTTTAACACTAGCATAATGCTGGCCTGAATTATAAGAAATGCCAACCAATAAATCACGTTCATGTGAAAATATTCACGTGATTTGTTTCCATTTTTGTAAAGTGTTAATATATTTATTTTTATTGTAGAGTTTAGACTTCCCGCACATCATAGAAATTTAATAAATATGCTATTCAACGATAGCACGTATTTTTCAGACACGTGATAATATATGAATAACTTACAACTACAAAATCACATGATCAATAAATAAATTAAATAAATTAAAAACAAAATATCATCTATCCAAAATTGAAAGATACTTCTAAAAAGTACAATTTGTTTACGCAACGATGCTAGTTATCTCCTAAAAATTTTGTGCAGCAGCTTTTTTCGCAGCTTGAGCTTTCGCAGCCTCAATCCTTTTCAACATCTCACCCGCTCTTTCATTGCCACGACTCCTTGATAATTTCAACATTTCTTCAGCCTTAGCACTATTAATCTGCTCTCCATGTTCACCGTTAAACAGAATATTACCATACAAAAATAA